GACATCAGTCAACACCCGGGGCCATCCTACGATCGGGGCCTTAGAGGCCTCCCGCAGGCGCGCCGCGCGCACTGTTATCAGATGATGCTAAGGTCCGATAGGCCCCGGAGGCACCGTCAGGGACAGACTCTAAGGTCTGGCTTGCCCCGGGGGCATCGTCAGGGACAGACCCTAAATCCGAGACGCCGTGGCCCGTTGTGTCAGGGCTTAATGAACTTGCTATCCAGACAGCGCATACAATTACCAAAATTCAGGTGCCGTGTACCGTGTTTTGCATGGGCAGGAGGTGTTTTCGAACACGCTGTGTTACATCATGACCTCCTTTATCCAATTAGGCTATCTGGCAATGATCAATATGACAACCTTTTTTGTGAGGGGAATAGCAACTAAAACTTGGGACCGAAAAACTTACTGCGAAGTTGACGCCATCGCATCCCATTACCCATGCCGAGAAGGCGCCCAGCTGCGACATTCCCATGCGGCAGCGGCAGTCAGCTGGCTTGTCAGCTGGCTACTGTTCGGCGGCCAATCTGGCGCGTTGACGCTATTGATCAGCTGGAGCGGGGGGCGTCAGCCCGTCGCCACCTACTGATGAGCCGACTGGCGGCCTCGGCACCTCCGTGTGCCGTCCAGCGGCGCTGCTCAGCGGCGACGTCACCGAACTGACATCGGGGTGATGACGCCACCAAAATGACGTTGGATGGTAACATTCGCGTTCATCTGATGATGTTACTTGGATGGCAGCCAGTAGCGAGTGCACTGAGGACGACAATGACGTCGCCGGCTAATGTAGTGTGAAAACGTCACAGGCTGGCAACACTGGGTGATATCGCAGGCTGCCGTTGTCGGGTGACGTCACTGGCTGAAATTGCTGGATGACGTCACTAGGATGATGACGCTAGTCGAAATTGCCATGGAATGTTAGTTGGTTGTGCTGTCAGATGATGCAAGGTGTTTATATCTCCGAATCGTAATGTGTGGCTATGCCACACATCAGCCGATAACCTCACCTGGCTTAAATTACTTAATTTTTACTCCTCACTGACGCTACGAAAGGACGTGCCATTGAGGCCAGTTACTGTGGCGACGTCAGTGGATGGTGTCAGGTGGCGATCATTCCCTGGAATGCTGTTAGTGGATGCTAGCTTGCCTGCTAGGCACCACATCCAATGTCACCCCAGAAGAACTCGGCGAGGGTAATTACTTCAAATGTTCGGTGGGCCACCAAAGCAAAAAAGGTGGGCAAAAGTCCATCAAATGTTCGGTCAGTTGACATGAGTGCTCTTTCGGCCCGTGGTCTCGCTCATGATCACTCCTAATCGGTTGACGAGCGCTGTTCGCACGCCTCGAGCACGCTGTTTGGATAATGTCCCGACCAGCTGATGGAGCACTGTGCCGTAAAAACTTTGGGCTTGAATCAGCAAATGAACCACTGTGCAGCCCACCACTGCAGCGACCCTAAACCAAACGTACTTTGCAAAAATATGCGAATTGATGCAAAAATGTTGCAGCGCAGTCCTTTTGTGGCTTGCCTGAGTCCTGTGAAAGCGTGAAGGTAGTAAATATTTCAACTCAGTATTAGTCAACACTACTGCTTTGAATACTGAACTGCTCCAACTTCACTTTACTTACTAAATTTAATTCAGCATCCGAATATTTGGAAATCGTTTTCACATCCCGATTTCACTGTGAAGTTGTCAAAATCAAGCGGAGCTAAGCCAACCGAAGACCGCAACTCCAACCTGTTTAACTGGGCTATAGTTTCCTATTCATTTGAGGAGCTTTAACCCCCCCCCCCCCCGCCCCAACTCTGTGAACCAAGCGCGCCAAATGCAGAGAGAACCTCGTCTGTTGGTGTATCTTGGGGGCTAAATGAGTCATTTCTACTGCTCCACCTTCCAACCGATTTTGCCAAATTCACCCTTGCTGTAAACTGAAACCGACACACCCCGCTGAATAACTATGCACTTTCTTCTTTTCTGTCTCCTTTTTAATCCCCAACAGTGGAAAGACGGGGGAATTCACATAAGGCACGTGCACAGTCGTGTGCGATGTACTGTGCCATTTTCCAACCATCGTGACGAACGCTGCCGCGCCCGATGGCGTGGATTTATGCTCCCAGTGAATCATTGTTGAAAACGAAGTACGCGTTGCCAACACGAAATGCAAAGCGCTCGTTGAAACAGGCTCCACATCTCGGCTGCCATCAGTCGGAGCGCTATGACGCACGCACATTTTTTCGCAAATGGAATGTACCGTAATGCAGGGAGCGAAGTCAGGATGGACGGCCCACCTGCAGCGGCTTATGCACGCCAAGTGTCCAGGGATCCCTGACTTCCAAAGGCGGTACTGAAGAGTTGTGCATGTTTTTAAATGGGACAGTGGGAGATTTGGCTTATTGCCAGATTTGCGTTGGTCGGTATGGTCGTAGGCACAGCACTGCAGCATAACACATGCAACCGCGAGATTGGCGTTAAAGTCGAACAAAAGCACACCTGCCGTTGATACATTGGCGTTGGAACTTGCATTCCACCAGCAGGGAGCCGCCGGAAAGCAGACTGTACCGCACCACACCACTGTCCGGCGGGACAGAGAACGTCCAGGGGCGCGGTTTCGAACTACAGAGGCACGTGCACTGTCAAATGTGTTTTTTACTCCACCATAGGTATTGGTTCCAGGTTCTTCCAACCAACTATGACATCTGCATAATCATCCCGTTATGCAGCATAAGCAGGCAGGCCAATGCAGGTGCAATCGGACTGATCTGTGTCCACGAGCACAAATCAACCAGTACCCACTTGATATGTGGCAAAACACTGAGTCCAAGCACACAGGAACTCTGATTAATAAGATAGTGATATTTCCCGCAAGCTCGTTTTCTTCTTTCCTGCTCAAACAGGTCTAAGATAAGTGTTATATCATCTACGGCAGTGCATTACATTACCACTTGGCGCCTTGGCCTGCAGTGCTATCAGAATCTCATCAATCTGATGATCAGATGATACACCGTCTGTCAAACCACTCCGACTTAGCGACTGTATGGGATGGGAAATATCACAGCTGCACCAACAGTAAAGACCGGCAAGGGGCTGCTGACGTCACTGATGATAGTTTTGATATGTTTGAGGCACCATTTCTCTGAAATATTGATTCAGCGTTGGTTCCCTCCCACATTTGTAAAAGACCTTTAAAAGGCAGAAGAAACGTGCTGTCAACATGGCATGAAGTGTTTGGTTCGTAATCCTGATAGTTGTGTAGTTCGGACGCGAGGTGTCAGCTGGTAGCGTGTGAATGGAGATTTGGGCCGGTTCAATCCCTTATTGAATGTTTTTGCTCAATATCATTCGTTCTAATCCGCTTCCAAATTGCAGCCTACCCTATCACAAAATCCAACGAAGTGTAAATGATATATTCGGTTCCGCGTATTTTCTAGCAAAGACATGAGTGGCATCGATCAAAGTGATGAATGGTTTCATATGCCTATTTCAATGTTTTAAATGCAGTGTCTCTCCACGTTTATGTTGTTCAACTCGATGCGTGCTGCGTTTAGCAATTACTCAGCACAACTGCTGAGGGATTATGCAGTGCAAAAGCCGTGTGGTAATCAGCACGGCGATTTCGTTATGTTCACTACCCTATAAAGACAAATAAAATAATAAATTATTCCCTCAGACCTGTACCCGCAGCTGCTGTCTCACACACCACAGACTTTGGCGTCCAATCAGCCGTCCACAAAGACTTCCGCGTCCGGCCAGCCCTCCACAAAACGGCATGCATGCGCTTGATGAACAAGCATCCACAGCATAGACATCTAGTACATCCATAAAACATCGTGGTTGTCTCTTGGTGCTAAACATCTGTGATCCAGAGCATACTGTACAATAGTTTATGCAAATTCTGAGGTGCTTAACATAAAATAGTCAGTTTTGAGTTGTAGCACAGCCTAAGCACTGCATAATCCCAAAGCAAATCCGTCGAGCTGCCCTTCGACAGAGAACGT